CCCCAAAACCCCAAAACCCCAAAACCCCAAAACCCCAAGGGTATCCATCAAAATTGAAAATAGAGAAAAATACCTAGCAAGACTTGATATTGAACGTCACAGTGAGTACTCAGACCTGCTACAGCACTTATGAGAGAAGTTTCATGTGCCAAATCCAAAGAGATATATGCTCATTAAACATCCAGACCAAATCGTTGATGATCCCAAGATGATTCCTGATAATTCACAGTTGTTACTGATAAGATCTAGGGACTACCAAGCTCACAAGTCTAAGGAATTACGAATCTGGCTTGATGCCTTCATGCTGAAGAAGAGAGTCAGGAAAAGTTATGAACTCAAAATCATAGAAACAGAAGACGCTTTGAAGCAGTACCAACATAAAGTTCCAATAAAAACACTAAATTGAGTAGAAAATGTGTTAAAGTCTGATTTCGCCAAGAAAAATGCAGTTGATTCTAACCTAAAAAATGCAGAGATTTTGCATTGTACTCCTGAGTTATTTTTTTGAGCATAAGAAAGACAAATCTCATCCTATCCAATTAACTACCACTTATCAAAGATCGAGTGTACGAAAGATCTGAGTGCCAAACCAGCATGTGAAGCACATTGCCTACAGGAATATCTACATAAATGATATTGAAATCCAGACTCCTGATATGGAAGACTTCTGAACCCAGACTATTCATTGTGAAAACTACGAAGATCTTGGAGAAACTGTTCGTATCCTATGTCTAATGAAAGGTTTCAACATTATATTCCCCAGAGGTGATAAATACGAAACTATTCTGTACTGGTGAGAGTGTTACGGTGACCGTAAAGGTGTACAATCTACAAAAAGGACTGGGTGTGACTTCAAGCTCCAGTACGAACGGACTCCTGACAAAAAAGGATATTTCTTATACAAATACCAAAGTTCGCATAACCATCCTCTTGAAGAGAGGAATATGTACCTTGGTGACTACGCTTTCCAGAAAATGAAAGTTATCTCTAGAGAGCTAAGAAAGGTTGCTCTGAACCCTCAAAATAGTGTCAAAATGGAGAAGCTGAAGAATGATTCAGTTGACCCTCGAGAAGACTACAACTATGATCAAGAATATGAAGACTTTATTAATGGAATCAAACCTGTAGAGGATATGAGAGTTCTCCGATCTTTCAACCGATGTGTATATAATAGAAAGCATATCAGAATCGATGCTGCTTGCAAAACAAGAGCTTTCCAGAAATATGAGCGCGATGATATTCAAGATATTGACCAAGAAGGTATCGAATCCTCTCAAAATATGGCAGGAGTATACACTAATGTCAAGACATATCCCTTCTTTCCTGATTCTTCTAACAGGCACCAAACAATACTCCACTGAGCCCAGGAGTTTGAGCTTGAAATCCTTGCAAAGCATTACAAAAGAGATCTTACTGAGGTTATTCTTGATCTCGAAGAGGACTCTTTTGAGAAGTACAAACTAGCCCAACTTTCTCGTAAAAAGGACAAAATTGAGCCAAAAATTATAGAAATACCAAATAAAAACCTGAGCAACATCGAAGCGAAGCAGAAATATATGAAACTTAACCAGATCTCTCACAAGGTCAGCCCGTATTGAATCTATGAAGTTACTTCAGAATGGGATGATGCCCAAGATGGGCCTCCATGAGACTTCTTAGCTGATACAATGCCTACCTACGAAATCGAGGGCGAATACTATATTCCCTCAAAAACTGTCACCAGAAAGATGAAGAAAGAAGAGTCTGTTGAAGAAGCCGAGAATAAGGAGCCAGAGACAGATAGTAACATCAGCTCTATCTATGATGAAAAGAGTGATATTAGCTTAAAATCTGGATCTGATGCTGCTAATGACTATTCTACACGTCCTCGATTATCAAAGGACAGCATTGACATCTATGCAGACCTGGATACCGAAATCATGAATGATGTACAAGGAATAGAGTCCAACAACACTGTCATCAAGAAGAAATCTAGACAGACCAAATATGATGTTTCCAAAGAGCAGGACATTAAAGATGAGCCTGAAGTCAGATTTTTTAATTAAACTAATTACCCTAAACTTTCAACAATCTTTTAGCTTACGGGGTTTTGGGGTTTTGGGGTTTTGGGG